TGTATGTGATCACATGCAGGGATATTTATTATATGTATGTGATCACACGCAATGATATTTTGTGACTGACTTATTTCAGCATGCTTGAACATAATGTCCCCAGTGTTCATCCATATGGTAGCATGTGTAAGAATTTTTTTCCTTTTGAGGTTGAATAATATTCCATTGTATGTACCACATTTTCTTCATCTGTTTGGATTGCTTCTAACTCTTGGCTATTGTGAATAGTGCTGCTATGAACATGGCTGTGCAAATATCTCTTCCAGACCCTGCTTTTAATTCTTTTGGGTGTACACCCAGAAGTGGGATTGCTGGATCATATGGTAGTTCTATTTTTAATTTTTCTAAGGACCTCCATTCTATTTTCCGTAGTGATTGCAACCGTTCTACCAACAGTGCACAGTGGTTCCAGTTTCTCCACATCCTTGCCAACGTGTTATTTTCTGTTCTTTTGATAGTAGCCATCCTAACAGGTGTGAGGCAATAATCTCACTGTGGTTTTGATTTGCTTTTCTCTGATGATTAGTGATATTAAGCATCTTTGGTATGTTTTTTGGCCCTTGCGTATCATATTTGGGCATTTGTCTACTCAAGTCCTTTTGCCCAGGGAACTCCCTGGTGGTCCAGTGGTTAGGAGTCTGTGTTTCCGCTGCAGGGGGCATGGGTTTGATCCCTGGTCAGGGAACTTAGATCCTGCATGCTGTGCGGCACAGCCAAAAAAAAAAAAAAGACTGGAAGTCAAGTCCTTTTGCCCATTTTTTTAAGTCAAGTTATTTGATTTTTTTGTCATTGAGTTGTAGGAGTTCTATATACTTTAATCAGATATTAAAGTATATGATTTGCAAATATTTTCTCCCATTCCATAGGTTGCCTTTTCCCTCTGGTTGATTGTGTCCTTTGATGCACAAAATTTTAAGTTTGATGGAGTCCCATTGGTCTATGTTTGCTTTTGTTGCCTGCGCTCTCCAGCATATTTGTTGAATGCTACCTTGGCATGAACTTTGGAGTCAGCAGAACCATTTCCAAGTTCTTGTTCTGTTGCTTGTTAGCTCTGTGAGCTTGGGCATATTATCCGATCTCTCTAAGCCTGATTCATACTATAGGGCTAATAATAGAATTTACTTAGGGGTTTTTGTGGTGTATATGAGAAGGTATTTAGAGGGCCTGGCAAATAATAAGCTCTTAGTAAAGGCTAACTATCACTCTAATTGGGGAAGGAAGGGCATTAAAAATAATACAACATCGTATGTGCCAAATAAATGTTACAGGGGAAGAGTGCCATTCGAGTTCAAGGAAGAGAAAGAATTAATGCCTCGTGCCCCAGTGTTTTCTGAAGAGTTTAGACCTTAGGAAGTCAGCGTGCTAAACATTTGGCATTTACTTCAGGATTTTACTCCTATCCCCATTCTTGTTGTTTCTTTATGTTTGTTTTCTTGTTTCCACTTTAAATTCAGGTCATCATATAGCTTATACATTTATGCCACCTTAAATCCATTTCTGTTATAAGGCAGAGTATAAAGCATTAGGTTTTATTTCTGTTTTGCCTCATTTACATCTCCAACAGATGCCGACAAGAGCCAAGAGCATAACAGAGGATCACAAAGAGGACCGGCCAACTGCGGAAAGCACAGCCCACTCCCAAGGACAAAGCCAGAGCACCACAACCCCGAATGTGGCAACTCGTCCGGCCCCGGGTAAGAAAACCAGACACCCCAGTAGGGGTTGATCTTCTTTTGCATAATCAGTGTATTCCAGAAAATCCAGGAACGAATATAATAATCAACGGGGCACATATTGGAATGCAAGCCCTAAGTTTGAACCAAGCTTTCTGTGAAATATGAATTTCAGAATGTTTATTTATTGGTTTGCTGACCACAGCTTTCTAACCTTATATGACAACTAGTGATAATGCCTCCACAGGGGCAAGTTAGATAGCTATGGGTGTCATGTTGCTGACCCTCACCTGATATCATGCACACTAAGAGCTTTGTGTTGACACCCAAAAGCGTAAAACGTAAGCCAACCTATGTAAATCTTAGTAGATTCTATGCTAACGGTTACCACCTTACACTGAGTTCATGTCTGTACACAATGAAGCAAGAATCTACTCTAAACCAGTCTTACCGGGATTTGGGGTTGTGCTTGTGATTCTCAGTTGGTACCTGCAGCAAAGTGAATGGGACCCCATGAGGTGAAACTCTTTAGGGCAACTTTGAGTCTTTGTCATTATTATGAGGTTTAGACCATCACTAATGAGCATGAGGAAAGATCATTGCCATTACAACTTAGCAGGAGGGAAAGAGCCTCCTATTTCCAGAACTTTCTTAAGAGAAATTCAGTTGTTTGGGATATTTTTAAACTATACCTTATTTTGTAGTAGATAGGAGTGGAAAAGAAAAGGAACTAATCCTCTAATAACTGCAATGAAAGCTTGCTAACTCAAGCAATTTTCTATAATCATTTTATATAGTTAGGTGTTTTCATCTTTAAATGAAAGCAAACATAAGGACCTTCCCTAAAGCCGTGGTTCCCGAAACCAGTTGCACAGCTGAACACCTAGAAAGTTATTCCTTACTGTTTAATATGCATTTCCAGACCCAATCGCCAATCTGGTTTTAAAAACTCTGTAGCACTTCTGAAGATTTTTTGAATGCGTTATATTTGTACACCCATGTTCACAGCAGCAGTAGACACAGTAGATAAAACGTGGAGGCAGCCCCATTATCCATGGATAGATGACTGGATAAACAGAAATGTGTCATATACATACAATGGAGTATTATTCAGCCTTTAAAAGGAAGAAAATTCTCACACATGCTACAACATGGATGAACCTCGAGGGCTAAATGGAATAAGCCAGTCACCAAAAGACAAACACTGTGTGATTCCACTTAGATGAGACACATAGAGTAGTCAAAATCATAGAGACAGAAAGTAGAATGGTTGTTGCCAGGGCTGTGGGGGAGGAGGGAGTGGGGAATCGGTACAGTGTCAGTTTTGCAAGATGAAAAGGAGTTCTGGGGCTTCCCTGGTGGCGCAGTGGTTGAGAGTCCGCCTGCCGATGCAGGGGACACGGGTTCGTGTCCCGGTCTGGGAAGATCCCACGTGCCGCGGAGCGGCTGCGCCCGTGAACCACGGCCGCTGAGCCTGCGCGTCTGGAGCCTGTTGCTCCGCAACGGGAGAGGCCACAACAGTGAGAGGCCCGCGTACCGCAAAAAAAAAAAAAAAAAGAAAAGAAAAAGAAAAGGAGTTCTGGAGATGGATGGTGGTGATGTTTGCACAACAGTGTGAATGTATTTAATACCATCAAACAGTACACTGAAAAATGGTGAAGATAGTAAAGTTTATGTTGTGTATTTTACCACAAAGATAAAAAAAGTTTTATAACATGCTTTGAAAATAAAGCCTACGGTTACTCCAAGATGCTAAAGAAATGGTTAACATTAAACACCAGAGAGAACCAAATAGGGCTAAGCGAGGAAAGAATCGTCAATATATTGATAATTGGTCATTGGAAAGCATTTCAAAATTTTGGAGAAGCATTGATCATTTGTAACAAGAGTTCACAGCTAATGAGCAGCAGAAAATGGAGCATTACAAGTTGACTAGTTTTTATAGCATACCAGGAGATTTCTCCTATTCCTTAAAAATAAAAATTCTCGATTAACTGGAAAATACGGTTGCTCTCTTGTCCTGTCCCCTACCCCACCCTTTCACAAAAACTGTGATTATAGCACATTCCCACTGCATGTATCAGTGTTCCAAGAAATGTTCACATGTGAGTTACAATGTAATTATAAACAATTGGTTTTTTAAGAGGTCATCTTATTAGGGCAGCAGATGTCTTTCCCATGAAACGCCCAAGGCTGATGATGTTCGTATGTATGACACACTTGCACGATCACAGTCAGTATAACTGGGAGGGAGCTAAGGAGTACAAGACTAGTAAACTCTAATTTAGTAATGAATCTTCCACAAACTTTATTTTCGGTAATGTATTTTCTGACAAATGATGTCATTGATGGTGATAACGTTATGTTATGTTATGAGCCCAGTATGCAGCATGTTAAGACATGATAAGCAAAAGACATGACCTGTCTCTACTGGTAGTTGGCAGCCAGGTATAACATTTAGGGAGTTGATTGGATGACACCTTTGTCCTGGGCAGGCTTCAAAACCAGCCATCTCCCAGTCTCCCAACTGGGTTGGCGTGATCAGCTTGAGCTCCACGTAAGTGCTGTAGAGCTGTGAGTTCAGCTCATGCAGGGAGAGCTGGGTTCAAGGACCCATACCCTGGGGCCATCTTGAAAAGATGTCTTCTTTTTGAAGATGGATTTGGTACAGAGTGGATGACTTCTTTCCAACTCAACCGTTAGAAAAAGAAAGCATCGTATAGCTGATGGTTGGCTGGTGTCACCTTTGATTAGGAAAGCTATTGGATATCTGTGGTATTTTGCAAATTGTGAACTAAGTTTCTAGGGAAGGGCCTGATTGCATCACTTCTCTCCATTGTCTCATTATATCAAGGCCTCTTGACTTCTTCATAAACACCTACCACCCAGAGGAGTGAAGGACTCAGTATACAAAGAAGTTGATGGGAGAAACAAAACAAAAGGCCTTTATTTTTTAATAGAAATTGTGTAAAATTACCTGAAAGAAACTCACAGTTTTATTAGTTGCAGGAAGGTATTCATAATTAAACAACTTCACATCCTTGGTAAATGAGAATATTCACATTGTAACTATTGGATTAAGTTTAGCTGCAGATAGAAATCCTACAATAATAGTGCCATAAATACAAAGGGTATATTTTCATTAAAATCATGTGCCCTGTAAGATCTGTATTTTGCTAGGAAATTGATATCATGAGGCAAATCACAGTCTTGACCACAACTTCCAAAACATTTTGCTCTCAGAATGATGTTTCTTCAAAATAGACCTCATCACAATGGGTGAGTTTTCCATATGGTCTTGACATTGGACCAAGAATCAAGGGGCTTAGATTCTTTTGTTACCCTAACTTCTGAAATCTTTGACTATTTATTTAAGATCTCTATGGGTCCGTTTCCTTGACACTGTTCTCTACAGTGGGTGAGAAAAAAAGTAACCTCCACAAAAGAACTACAGACCCATAGGTGTGAAGAAGCATTCGTAAATTCAATAATAATAGTTTTGAAACAAGATCACGTCAGAGCTTGCTTAAAACTCCCCTGATCCAATTTACTTAAGAAATTATCCTCTTTGCTAGTGTTTTGTTCATCTTCTGCCAATTGTTAAATTATAGCTACTAAATCCTAATAATTCTATATCATTACATCTCTCTCTTTATAGGGAAAACAGATGGAGAAAAACCAACAGTTAAGAAAGGTGGGTTCGATTTTGGTACCAAAATATTCTTATGTTTTAAAAAAGGTCTCTTTGAACTTAATCTTTGTGATGAATTACATTCTTTCCCGGATTCTAGTCAATGGGAGCAGAATACGAGCCTTCTGAGAATAGGTTTCAAACCTCTTTTAAGAGAGAAAAGCCTGTATTTGAAAATAAGCAAACTGCAAATGAGTCTATTCACTTAATGACAGCTATGGAAAATGGTGTCATATCACAATTTATCATTCCTAAGAATGAAAATAGGGGCTAATTTAGTAGCTGTGTGTACACGAACGCCACCCAGTAATTAACAGTGAAGCCACCTAGTAGGAGTGGTATGCTTGAGAGATCTTGAGACCCAGAAAACTTTCCATTCATAATATGAGATTAGAATAACCCAACATTTCTGCCTTCCTAAGTCAACTCCCACTGAATACAGGAGAAACAACATAGAACATCATTTGTTACCTACAGGGGGCCAGTGGCATTGCTTATTGCTGGTGTATTGTTTGTCTGGGGCTTATGCTTTCTTTTTCTTCTCAATCAGGTGGCTTGTCAACAATGACCCTGACTGGAATCATAGTTGGGGTCTTACTAGCCATTGGATTCATTGGTGGAATCATCACTGTGTTTGTTCGGAAAATGTCAGGAAGGTACTCGTAAGTAAATATCTTAGGCCCGTGTGATAGGTAAATGAGGGCAGCCATTTCCAACCTTTGAACTAATAGAAACCTCCAAATAAACCTTCTGAACCTTCGTGTTCAGAAGCCGCCGACCTCCGTAAGCACTACCTCTGAAGCTTCCCCAGAAGAACATGTGTCTACTTGGGGCCTCATAAATTCCCAGGAAAGTGCCAGAGATGGCTCTTTAGTTGACTTCCATTGAGATCTCACCAGATTTGACCTCTTGTCTTAATTTTCCAACTAAGTGAACTTGAACGAAAACCCATCTGTTGGGAAGATAATATGATTGGGTGGGGAAGGATAAATGCTATACAACTGGGGGGTCGAGGGATACAATTAGCAATACAGTTGCAGAGTTATGTGTCTGGAAATGCCCGGGAATCTGACCCTGGGTGTGAGGACCAGGCCTGGAGGAGGGATGAGCAGGGAGAGAAGAGCCCCATAATCCAGAACTGGAAGACGTAGACAAAGGACAATAGGCACAATGACTTACGGGATTACCAGTCACAGTGCCAGTAAAAGAAGTGACCGTCACCTTTCTCTTTGTTTTCACAGGCCCTAAAGAGCTTAAGAATTTTGCCCTCCTGCCAGTATGCTTTTAAAAAAGAGAGTTTCCGACTTCCCCCTCATGCCTGATCGTGTGGAGAAGATGACCTGTGGAAATGCTTCACCACTCCACTCAAAATCCACGGTGATTCCTCCACTTGCCAAAAGTAATGGAAGGAAAGAGTATTCATAAGACTTGCTTCTCTGAGCATTTGTCTTTTGAAAAAAAAATCGTTTTAATATAAATTTTGTATAAGATGATTTAAAATGCATAGAAAACGGAGCAAAGCTATGTCATCTGATGTGTAACTAAGGTAGACAATATAATTCAATCGATGTTAGAAACTGAAATCATGTCTTTGTTCTGATTGTTCTCTCTTGTTGTTAAAACGCAAAGGAATTTGGAAATATTTATACCAACGACGTCCTTGGGTGTAAAGCTATGTCAGTAAGTGGCATAAGCATTTTGCAGTTTCTGATCTGTTGAAATGTATGCATTCCAGTCTAATTGGGTCTGTTTTTAGCCTGATTTGGTGTGAATAATCAAGTAGAAAATCTAAACTTGCATAATATGTAATGAGCAACCGCCTTTCACTGGTCTGGGTAAATCATTGCAAAGGTATCTATTTTAGATCATAAACAGAAGTCTGTACTTCGGGGAAGGCATGTTGTGTCTCACAACAAGGGCACCGACAGGGTCGCAGTGTGCTCGGCTGCCTGCTGCAATGATGACTTTATGACACAAAGGTTTGCTTCTACCTGTCCCCTTCCACTTCCCTCAGATGATGGGGATCCAGAGCTAAAGGGGTGACCTTCTCTCTTCCCCATGACACAAGTCCTCCAGATTGGCTACTTTGCTCTGGAATATGAGGATCTCAGCCCTGGATGCCGAGGAGGCTGCTGAAGGCCCAGTGGTGCCAGAGGCTCAGGTGTTCCAGGAACCAAGAACCACAGTGATCCCCAACCCCTGTGTGTGCCTTTGAGAACGAGAACCTGCCAGTTTCCTAACATTTACTTTCTGCCTTGGAAGAAAGATATGGGAATACTGATTTTTAAAAAGCAGCGGGATTTAGAGACTCTATTTTTAAATGAAAGATATTTCTGGTCTTCCTGAGATCCCACATACTTCTGTGGGGTCACGATGGACAGTTCTGTCTTGGTACCATCCAACTCAGGACATTTCTCCCTGTAGGTGAACTGAATTCTTTCTCCTACACAAAAAATGTTTGTACTGAGCAGACACTGTATCACATTTGTGGTTGTACAGTTCTGATAGCCTCTAAACTCGTACGGGTTCATAAAACAGGAAAAAGTAAAACTATCAGTCTACTTTGGCATGGCCTGTTCCTCTATCTTTTGCAGGAATGTGTGGATGTAATTTTAAACAGTGTGCTCTAGTGTCGCTCAAGTCCAGCTGGTCCACCAGCCCAGGTTCCATATTTGAACATCAACTGATGGGGAGAAGGGTCTTCGGAAGAACTTTACGAAATCTCTTAAATATCCCCTGTATCATCACTCAGATTCCTGAACAGGAGTTGGGAATAATGTTCGTTTCATCTTTCCTATCCTCTCTTTTTTTCTCTCACTGTGAAAAATAATAGTCAACCCCAAGTCATACACACCACCTGCTGGGACAGGACTGTGGGTTTCTTGGTCACATCTGTGTTGGTGCTCAATGCAGTGTAGACATGTTTTGAAATAAAACAGATGATTGCATATAACGATGTGTCAGACCTTTGACTGGGAATCTTGATCAAGTCTGGATCACCCCTGAGAACATCTCCATATAAAATTACATGTTATATAAACATTCGCCTCTTGGCTAGATTGGGAGTGAATTATAAATGGGTATAGGAAGTACACCCATGGGAAAGAAATGTAACTATACATTTCACCCAGAGCTCTGCCAAAGTGGGGAGGTTAAGGTCAAGTGGAGGAATCGGAGAACTGGCACCTTGGCACTACTTTTGTTCTCTATGGTCACACAGGGTTAACACAGGGCTTCCCTGGTGGCGCAGTGGTTGAGAGTCCACCTGCCGATGCAGGGGACACGGGTTCGTGTCCCGGTCCAGGAAGATCCCACGTGCCGCGGAGCGGCTGGGCCCGTGAGCCATGGCCGCTGAGCCTGCGCGTCCGGAGCCTGTGCTCCGCAACGGGAGAGGCCACAACAGTGAGAGGCCTGCATACCGCAAAAAAAAACCCAAAAAACCCACAAAGGGTTAACACGGTTTTGCCTGGCTTCTGATTTCTCTGCCCTGGGGACAGGAGCCATGTAAGGGAGCAGGTATACCTTGCCCCTGCCAGTCCTACCTGGGAACCTGACTTCATGTGGTTAGGGCTTGACCACACAAGAAAAAGAAGTAATAACCCCTGTGAGGGTTTTCCAACTACCTATGGCCTGGGATGCACGTTGCTCCAGAATTTCTGTTCCTGGGACATCTCACTGCTCCTTGGCCCTCAGCTGCAAATACTCCACAGGATCTGGAGACTGCAGTGGCCAGGCCCTCTGCCTCTGCCCCTCTGTCAGGCCATCTGCTCCCACCGCCACCTACACTGCCCTATATGGATTCCAGCGCCATACCCTGTGACTCTCCCTGCCAGCCCTACCCCCACTCATAAAGGTTGGATCCTAAAAGCAAGAGAGCTGCTCACATCATGCCTTCCTCATAATAAATACTCAGTTTCTGTTAAGTCAGGGTTGTTGAATTTGCCAGATGTCAGGAATCCCGGGTGCCTGTTTCTAAGTGGTGACACAATGAAAAAGAGCAGAATTCGGATGCTTTACAGCTGTAGTACCTCAGAGGAGTCGAATTATTTGGACTACAGTTTCTTCATGGAAACTTCCATGAGAGGACTTGAAAGCATCCCTTTTTCTAGCAGAAAACTAACCATATCCACCTCGTCCCCCAGACCCTCAAGGGAACTGGGCCCTCGGCTACATCAAGTGTAAATTTATATTCCCTTACACACTGCCCGCAGGAGATGACTAGGAACTAATGGGGCTGCCAAGGGCACTGGAACTTTAAGGAAAAACCTCCATCCTCTCTTCCATCAGAAATGCCTGGGGGGGGGGGGCTGGCTTCCCTGGTGGCGCAGTGGTTGAGAGTCCGCCTGCCGATGCAGGGAACACGGGTTCGTGCCCCGGTCCGGGAAGATCCCACATGCCGCGGAGCGGCTGGGCCCCGTGAGCCATGGCCGCTGAGCCTGTGCGTCCGGAGCCTGTGCTCCGCAACAGGAGAGGCCACAACAGTGAGAGGCCCGCGTACCGCAAAAAAAAAAAAAAAAGAAAAAGAAAAAAAAGAAATGCCTGGGGACCAAGCAGTGCCGAAGTTAACTGTTTATGCCATGTTAAAGCCTCTTCTTAATGCCTATTGTTTTTTCTTTCAACCTGGGAGAACTAATCAAAAACCAGGACTTAGTTCTGCTTCATGGGCTGCCTTTAATGAGCACGGAAAGAACAAGTAATTTAATCCCTTACTCTCTCCATCTTTATTTTAATTCATGTTGATTTAGTGTTCAGGGCTGCTCGTGCTAAATGCTTTCATGGGGCATCGTGTGTATTCTGACATTGTCTGCTAATTTAAACTTTGTTTGCTAATTTAAAGTCCAGTGGAAGTAGGAGAAGAATTTCCCTGAGATACAGCTGGATATTAGCACATACACTCGGAGCAACAGTTATCCGCCCGTGAGCGTCAGAGAACTTGGCGTTCCCTGAAAGACTGCATTTCTCTTTGCTCCTCCTGAAGCTTAAAGCCAAGTTAGCATGTACAGTAGATCCTGGGGCTTTTCATTCAATAAATACACAGTATCTAACCACAGCTCATGGACAGTAATGCAGAGTAAATGTGAAATCTTGGAGTAGAATAATAAAGACTGTCCTGCTGGTGTGAAGAGTGTGAGATTTTGGCCCAGGGGCCCAGCACACACGGATCCGCCTGATTGAGGCAAAGTCCCAGCCTGGATTCACCGAACATTAATCCTCGGCACTTTTCATTCTCTCTCAGGGGTCATTTTATCAGACACAGACGCAAAGCACCCAGGGTTCTCTTTCCGCATCCGAGGGCTCGGGGCCGCAACACAGGGTCCCGTGCATTTTCCTGAGACCTTGCTCCTGCTATGTTTTCTTTCCTACCCGCTTCTTTCCACTGCCTCGAACTCCCCACGGATGCTCACGTTTGAGAAAACAATCCCATACCAGTCACAAGAGGGATGTTTCTGAAGTGACGGGGAGCCTCTGGGTGCTACCAGAGAGGTTACCTGAAGTAAGTGCTTGAACAGCCTAAACCACTTAACAGCACCCTGTGGGTAACCTCAGGAAGGCAAAGAATGTTCTGAGCGAAGGGAAAGCTTGAGCCTTCCCTCTACTCCCCGCCCCGCCTTCCACACGGCACCTGGGCATGAGGCTGAGGCTGCGGATCTTGTCCAGCAAGACCCGGGGACAAAAGACACTCACGGGCTGACAAGGTGTTTGGGGCTGCTGCAGAGATATACCCTCGTGAGCCAGGAAGAATCTGTTTGTTCATTCATTCATTCAACAAACATTTATTGTCTGGGTACTGGGGATACATAGTGAGCAAAATCGACAAAAATCCCTGCCTGCGTGGAGCTTTCATTCTAGTGTGGTAGACAGACTATACCCAAAATAAATAGGTAAATCAAAGAGCACGTGGAAAATGAGAGGGTGGCAGAAGCAATGGAGAAAACCAGAAGCGGAAGGGAAGAGGAAATGCAGGGCGGAGGGACCACAGCATTGCATCGGGCTGGGAGGGAAGGCATCTCTGAGATTTGAGCAAAGCTCTCAAAGAGGGGAGGAAGGAATGTCAAATGGGCGTCTGGGGGGAACATTCCAGGCAAAGGGAACATCAAAGGCCCAAGGAGCATGTTTGGCATGTGGTAGGGAATGCAGGGAAGCTCAGGAGGCTGGAGAAGAGTGAGGGTGGGGAGAATGGTAGGAGATGAGGCCAGAGAGGTGGGGGGTCCATCTAAATGGGAGCCTTTGGAAGTTTCCGAGCAGAGGAGTGGCATCATCTGAATTATATTTCAAAACAATCACTCTTGCTTGTGGCTGGGAACTGGCCAGATAAAAAGCCAGTGTGATCATCCGAGCAAGAGATGATGGTGGCTCAAACCAAGATGGTAGCAGTGGAGGTGTCATGAGGTGGTCTGGTTCTGGTTATATTTTGAAGAAAGTCAGCAGAATTATCTGATGGACTGGACATGGGATCTGAGAAAAACAGACAAGTCAGACGACTCCAAGGATTTTGACCCGAGCAATTGGAAACTGGAGCTGCCATCACCTCACCAGGGAAGGCTGTGGATGCTGAAGGTTTGGGAGAGAAGAGCAGTCCTGTGTTGAGCATGTAGAATCTGAGACGCCTGTCTAGAGACCCAAGTGGAGGTACCTCAAGCAGGCACCTCGCTGTACGAGCGGAGCTTGAGCGAGAGATGTGGCTGGAGACGTAATTTGGGAGCTGTCAGTACTTAATGACAATGATACGGATGAGATCACCAAGAGCATAAACAGAAAAAGACAAGTCCAAGATGAGAGCATTGGTGGACTCCAAGATTAAGGGACAGGAATAGGCAGAGAGATCACCAGAGGAGTCTTCCACCATCGCTTGGAGGACAT